GTATAAAACAGTTCTACAAGATAATTTTGACGGAATGGATATGAAGTTTTTCGTTTTTATTTACACCGACACAAAATAACCGGTAGTTGGATAAAAAAGAAGACTGTTTCCTACTGAAACAAAAAGAAGAACAAAAGGAACAGAAGTTTACATGCACAAACAACAATAACGATAATATGTGTCGGTTGATGGGCTAAGGAGAGAAAGTGTTATACGAACAACGATGACAAAATATATATCAAAAACAAACAAGGAGAGAAGAAGAAAAAAAAAATAAATAAATATTAATCAGTCTTGACGACAAACAACAACACCAACAATAACGCACAACAACAATGAAAATTAATATTGCACAGCAAGAAAAAAAAAGAAGAAAAATGAATGTGTAGGACAATAAAAAATAGGAACGATATTTCATTTCTTGTATGATTTATGATGGTTTGCCGTCTTCAGGATCTTTAAGTGAATGCCATTGGGCGATAGGTCGTCGAGGTGATGCAAGCATATCAGACCAATGACGTAATTCAGTACCAGTTGCATTACAACCTAAAACAACTTTACCAATCGGTTCAGATGTACCAATACGATCATAATCGACTACAGTAACTGCTAATTGTACTTTCTAGATAGATGATTTTTATTTATTATACCAAATGTAATTAAGTAAAAACTAACCTGAATTTGTTCAAATGGTACTTCGAATGTAAATGATTCATTATAATATGGATTTAATGTACATTTTTTAATTGATGTTTTCTTCTTTTTTAATCGTTTTCCATTCATCATTAACGATAATTTAACATATGGATCTATAAAATAATTATATGAATAAAATTAAATAGAAATAAATTATTAAATTCTATACCAGAAAGACCACCGACATCCATTTTTTTAAGATTTTTAGCTTCAAGTATGGTAATTGTCAATTTACCCGCAGTTGGAACATATCGAAGTGAAAAACAAATGTCACCCAATTTATTTTCCTATGTAGAAAAGAAAAAATAAATAAAACAAAAAATAACATGTATTATTAATAACATACAGCTTCTTTTTCGCCTGGTGGTGGTGTTAAATCTTTAATTTCTCTTATAACTTTTCCTAAATCAACTGTATTAAGTGGAATTTGTACTTCACCAATTTGATCATGCCTTGAAAATCGATCAAAATCATAGACAGCAAATATTAATGTTTTTCCACCAATTTCACCATAAGCCAAATTCTATTTTTTATTCAATAAAAAAATATTTTTTTTTCTTTTTTTTCATTTATTTTCATAACTCACTTTAAATATGAATGTTTCATTAAAAACAGGATTTAATGTTTTACGATAAACTTTTGTTTCAAATTTTTTCTTTTTATCTGGTAAGACATATACTTTAACATATGGATCAGATGTTCCACTCATATCCATTGCTGGTAATTCTTGAGCTTGAATAACTTCAACTTTAAGCTATACAATTAAAAGGGAAAATTATAGCAAAGAATAAGTATTAATAATCTCTATATGATTATACTTCTTGTTTTTGAAAATCATAATCAAGTGAATATTCTAATTTTCCTAAATTAGGTGCTTCACTCTTTTTCGAATCAGCATCTTCATTATCTTCCATATTTGTTGCTAATTCTTCAATATCAGGTTGAACCTATTTAGAAAAGTATAGAAATTATTTATAATTCAACATAATTAGATGGTATATAATAATTTTTGTTCGTACCTTTTCTTTATGTAGACCAAATGATTTTACAGCTTGTAAATCGATTCCTTTGCCACCTTTGACACCTTTCTTTTTCCATAATTTTCGACATGTACGACGAATACAACATGCTATACATGTACATAATGCAAGAAGTACGATGATTATAACTATAATTGTAGCCCAAGGTGGCACTAGAAATCAAATAAAAATAAAATTCTTTTCATGCCCAAACACTGAATCGAACAGTGGACCTTCTCTTTACGAGAGAGACGCTCTACCGACTGAGCTATGTGGGCAATAGATATGAGAAATAATTGAATAAAAATTTTTTTTTTAATCAATTATTCTAAATCTCTAGAGAATTTCATTTTTTTTCATGAACGCCTTCTTTTAAATAATAATTCTTATATTGAGCATGTCATAAAAAGTATTTTACCTGAAGTCATTGATCCGAGAAATCTTTTCTCTCTATATAAATCATTATCGAATTCCATTTGAGTATGCATTCTCATCTAAACATATTCTTTGTACACATACATACATTCATGTCTGTATCTATCATTTGAATATATATATATCCTCATGCAAATATTTCGATAGAATATACTCAATGTCGATTATTTTACGAATAAAGTAGTAAGAAAGAAAAGAGAAGGAAGAAAATATATTTTCTTTTTTTGTTGCAGGTTTTTTTTGCTCCAACTCTTTCTGTACATTAACGATCACTATGGTAGAGAGCAACGTGTAGTAAAGTGTTCTTTTTTTTT